TTATATTATGTTATGTGTAACAAATGTTTCTTCCATTATTTGTTTCAATGGTAGTGAAGTTGGTCCGATCAAGCTTATACTGTCATTATTTATTTTGGAGTTATTCTCTAAATTTTACTTGTATTTTTCTTTCCCTATAAAACAATTAAAAATAAATAACAATAGCAAGAAGATTGATATTTTAGCAAAAACAGGCCGAATAAGATTGCAAATATACAGAAAAATCAAGCTGAAATTTTGGATAAATTAAGAGCCTCATCATACCCTTTTGTGCCAAAACTGGAGATATAATTTAAATTCAATGTCAAATTAAATAATTTTTGGATGAATTTGTATAAAATTAAGTCCAAGAATATAATTAAATTTTTAAAGGGCAAGACAAATTAGGAGCCTAATGGTACCTCTTTGTACCAAAACTAGAGAGACAAAGTATACTCAAGGTTAAATTAAATGATTTTTTGGATGAATATGTATAAAAATTAAGCCGGGGCACATAAATAGATTTTTTATAAACCAATTTGATTTAATCATTGGTCAAATTAAGAATTTAAAATTTAGCTCTAATTAAAGAATTTAATTAGACGCAAGAACTTAATTATACTTTAAATTTGTCAAATTAATTTTAGTAGAGACTTACCTTGTGAAAAAATAAAATTAGGCTTAATTTAGAAGAATGAGATTTTAGAGAACCAAATTTAATTTTTACAAAGTTAATTAGTTTAAATTAATGGTTAAATTGAAGAAATTTGCAACCAATGACTGTTTTCAAAAAAACATTGAACTTTGGGGCCTAATTATTCAATGGTGAAAATAAAAAGATTTGAAAGTTTAATGATCAATTGAGGGTCAATTTGCATAAATTCAAAACTGAGAATCAAAGTGAAAAAAGTGCTGAAATTTGGGGCTAGCATTGAAGTTCAACTAAGGTCGAAATTATATAAAATTAAAAGTTTAGAGTCAATTAAGGGTGCAATTGAAAGAAATTAAAAATAAAATAACCAATTGAACTTTGATCAAACCCCTAAATTAAAACCCTAAAAAGTCTAAAATTGCACTGTTTTGAACAGCAAAAAAAAAGAGGGGACTAGATGGCATGTTGTTGGTTCCTATTCATCATCTTCTTCTTATTTTGCCTGAAAAAGTTGTTTGGTTAGCTACTTTTCAAGGACATTTAATGCTTCGTTTCTTTACTAGATTTGACAAAATATACATCAATATGATGACCTAATATTTGACTACACCCCGGTATGGTTCGTTCTAGCTAATTAACACCACAACGGTAAGAGCACTTCTTCAAAGTGGACAACTTAAACAACCTTTAGCTACAAACTTTTTCAAGCCATGATAACAACTTCAATTAATTATTAGGATCTTTCTGATTTAAATTAAGGGTCAAGATTTATTCCCTAAATAGAGAAATTGTCTCTCCTCATCCCCCTATAAACAGAGATGAATTCCAAGCATTAAACATGGAGATATCATAAGCCAAAGTTAAAATAAAAATAACCTTCTCCTCAATTTTTTATTTCTCTTCTCCCATCTGGTTTTCTTCCACTCCTTTCATTGTTGTTGTCACTATCAGCCACATGATTGACTTCTCAACACCACCAGGAACACCACTAACAACTTCTCGACTCCAGCCAGGCAGGCTCCCACTTTTTATTCTTCATGAAACCTCCCTCCAAAGCCATTTGCATGTAGAATTGATGTTGTATGTGAATGAAAAATATAAGTAAAGATAGGTTGGACCCGTTTCAGCCCAGCCTAGATGGTTAGGTTGGGTCTTGCTTGAGAGAGAGAGAGAGAGAGAGAGAGAATGAGGTTAGGTCTATTAAGTCGTCTATCAACCTAACCTCACTCACCTGGGTTCAACCCAACCTATATAATAATAATACTATAATATTATGTAATAATATCAAAATATCTAAAAATTAAAAAAAAATCAATGGTTATTTAAAAATATTTGTGATTTTTTCACATGTTTTTTTAACAATTTTACATAATATTGAGTTTTATATTTACACTGTAAAATACAGATTTGATATTGAAATACGTGTTTTTCTCCAAATATTTTCTTAAAAAATTAGAAATTCAAAAAAATTTAAATTAATTTCCTCCTTAAAAAAACAGAAAAATATACGTTTTCGTGTATACAGTCAAATCCTAAAGGTTTTTTATGTATATTTTCTTAAAAATAAAAATCATATTTTTATAATATTTTTTTTAAATAAAAAAAAAATTATCATGATTAATTTATGATTATCCATTAGGATTCAATTAAAATACAAAAAAAAAACGCATAACAATTATTTTATTATTCAGAATGCTGGGACATAACTATATCCAAAAAATAAAAAAGTCTAATCTTTAGAAAGGTTAAAAATTAATCTAATAAGTTAGAAATTATTTTATGAAAAGAAATCTAATGCAAACCTTAAATAACACTAATAAATAAAAATATAGTCTAGAAAAATAATTAAATAATAATATAATTTATTTTAAATAACATGTACTGAAATGATATATCTTTTGTTTATATATTTAATTTCTTAGCCGAATTTTCATATACTATAAATTTTTTAATAATTATAATATTAGTTAAAAATTCTAAATAATTATAATTTCACAATTAAATCTAGAAATTATTTCTAGCGTGCTCATAAGGCATACTCGCAGTTGTTCGACACCGCGCATGCCGCAACAGAAGCCATATACAGGGTTGAGACAGGGTACCCTCTATCTCCATATCTTTTTATTCTGTGCAGTCAGGGTCTGCATACTTTGTTTAGCAAGGCTGAGGAACGAGAGGTGCATCGAGCACCTGCGGTTTCTCATCTTCTTTTTGCCGATGATAGTTTCTTTTTCTTTACAGCTAATGCGCAAGAGGGTTGTGTTGTTAAGGACCTGTTGCATCAATATGAGTTGGCTTTGGGACAATCAGTTAATTTTCAGAAATTGGGAATTTTCTACAGTAGCAATGTCAAAGTGGACTGCCAGCAACATCTCAGTCATTCTTCAGGTCTTTTCACCTCTAAACCATGGAAAGTACTTGGGGTTACCATCACTATTTGGACGTAATAAACATTCAATTGTTGCCTATTTGAGGGATCGTTTGGGGAAGAGAATTCATGGATAGAGAGGACGTTTGTTATCAAAAGCAGGTAAAGCAGTGGTGATCAATTCGGTGGCTCAAGCTTTGGCAACTTATAGTATGAGTGTATTTTTATTGCTGACAACTATATATGCTGAGTTACAAAGGATGATGAATAGATATTGATGGGGTAGTGACCAAAGAGATGGCGCGAGGAATAATTTGGCAGAGTTGGAATAGACTATGTAGAAGAAAGGAAGATAGTGATATTGGGTTTCGAAATATACATTGCTTCAACTTGGCTCTTCTTGGTAAGTTAGGATGGAAATTGATGGCCGATCTGGATAGCCTAGTGGCTAGAATTCTCAAAGCAAGATATTTCCCAAGAGGGGACTTTTTGAATCCTCACTTGGGACATAAACCTAGTTTTGTTCGGTGGAGCATCCATAACTCTCAAGAATTGATAAAGAGGAGCTGTAGATGGCGGATTGGTATGGGTAATATGGTGAGTATATGGAATGATGCTTGGTTGATAGATGATAATAACAGGTTTATTGAGACACAAGTTGTGAAGGGCCTTGAAACTATGCATGTATATGATCTGATGGTGGATAATGGTTCTAGGTGGGACGTTCAAATGATTGATTCACTTTTTCAGAAAAGAGATGCTATTTCTATTCAAGGGATTCCATTATCATCTAGAGGTGTAGGAGACAAGTTAATTTGGCATTTTAGCAAGGATGGGAGGTTTAACGTTAAATTAGCATACCGCGTGGCAATGGAAATTTGTGGTCCAGATTTGGGTGAAGCTGTTCAAGGAGCATGAAGAAGAATTTGAATTCTTTGTGTACCTCCAAAGATTAAATATTTGCATGGAGGGTTTGTCATAATTGTCTCCCTACAAGATCAGCAAAAAGGGGTAGAGGTCCATGATGTTTTTTTTTTTGTTTTGTTGCAATGCGATAGGTTAATCAAAAGAACATTTGTATATGAAATGTCCTTTCTCCTTGCAGTGCTAGCAGGAACTTGGTCTTAATATTCATAATAATGTATGTAGTTCTGTCAATGGTTTAGCAATCATATTGTGGGGCTTGATGATGATCAATTCGCTACAGAGGAGGTTACAATGTGGTTCCTTTTGAACCAGCGGAATTCAAGAATATGGAAGCAATGCTGGAGTGCAATCTGTGGTACAGCAGGGAGCGTGGAAGTGTGTGAGGCAGATTGTTCAACACTCAGTTAATGTGCAAGGGCAAAGTCAGAAATGGGATAAAGCTCCTGTAGGATTTATGAAATGTAACATTGATGCAGACATTCTTGATCAAGGCGTTGCCATGGGTGCTGGTTTTGTGATCAGGAATAATGAGGGAGCTGTGGTTTATTGTGGGTGCTGGAAGATTAGAGGGTCTTTTTCACCAAACTGAGGCATTGTGTCTAAAGAATGTGCTGCAGTTCATGATTTCTCAGGGGCTGTCAAATGCTCTTATTGAGTCAGATGCAAAAATTGTTAATAAATGATATTGGTATTAACGATTTTGAGATGGGTATGATGTTTGAATATTGCAGAGGCTTAATTAATCATGGGAATAATTTTGATTTGTATCATGTAAGAAGAACTGCTAGTGCTAGAGCCAGTGCTCCATTGTCTATTAAAAAAAGAAAAAAAATGCAGAAGGTGTTCCCAGTTTTGTATACTCGAATCAAAACCCTGCGTATATGTGTAATGATCTTGCGCATGCCGTTTAATGAAAGTTAATTTCTTTTTTTAAAAAAAAAAAAAAAAGGGGGGGGGAAGCTAACCGAAGCTATGGACCGATCTAGCTTGGAAATAACGATACTATACCACTACGTACAGATAATAAATAATAGTTAATGGTTTAATTAAATAAGAGTTAAAGATTTAGTTAAATAAGAGCGAGAGAGGAAGCGTCGACTGGGGATGGTGACTTTCTGAGTGCGTGAAGGTGAAAAAACTGAAGAAAACCATTACTTGTTTGCTTTCTCCAACACCGCATCTAAAACGGACACATAACGCACCCAGCCTGCCTGCCTCTCCCTCCCTCCCTTAATATTATTGAACTGAGTCAATGCTAGATCTCCTCCCCTCCTACTAATTGCATAGTCCATTCTCTATTGGCGGTTGTTAAATTCCTCTTCTTGACTATTCAAAAGCGAAATCGCCTCGTCTTTTTCTCTGCTGTTTCCTTTATTTGGTCTCTCCATCCTCTCCTCTCCTTTCCTCTCCTCTCCTCTCCTGTTATTCTCGTTTTGAGAATTGGGAGATCTGTTTATTAGAATTTCAAATTCTCGAAATTAATTGAGAAAAAGATAAAATAATGGAGAGCGAGAACAAGAAGTCGGCCGTGTCGGATGTGGGAGCCTGGGCAATGAACATCATCAGCTCAGTCGGTATTATCATGGCCAATAAGCAGCTCATGTCTGCCAACGGTTATGCTTTCGGCTTTGGTATTATTATAATTATCTCTATCTCTAGATCTCATCATTCAATATTATAGTGATAATCAACAATTGATTGGATTTATCTGTTGAATCAATAAGTAATCGTTTTCTTTGCATTGCAGCCACAACCCTAACGGGCTTCCACTTTACTGTAACGGCTCTTGTCGGCCTCGTTTCAAATGCTACTGGTCTCTCTGTATCAAAGCACGTCCCTATGTGGGAGCTCCTCTGGTTCTCCGTTGTTGCCAATGTCTCCATCACTGGCATGAACTTGAGTCTCATGCTTAACTCTGTCGGATTCTACCAAGTATGTTACTTAATTAATTGGATTTTATTGTTATTGTTATTCTTAACCCAACAACTAATCAGATCTGCTTGATTTTTTGCATTTATCTTTTTATTTAACACTCTAGAGCCTCGTATATTCACACATCTACCATTACTAGTATATTTATCTTTTTTCACCATTGCTAAATTAATCAATTAATTGGTGCATGGTTCAGATTTCTAAGCTCAGCATGATCCCAGTGGTTTGCATAATGGAGTGGATCCTTCACAGTAAACAATACTCCAAGGAAGTCAAGCTATCTGTTCTTGTTGTGGTCATAGGTGTTGGTGTTTGCACTGTCACTGATGTCAAAGTTAATGCCAAAGGTTTTATATGCGCCTGTTTAGCTGTTTTGTCCACCTCTTTGCAACAGATTGTGAGTATTTTTTTAGCATTCCCTTCGCTTTATTATTAAATACCTTGATTCCTTTTTCCCTATAACTCCCATCCTGTTCTTCATGCACTCTCATTTAAAAGCACAAATTCATGACATTTGAACTTCGATATTTTTTAGATCATGTAAATGATTTTGATTTAGCCTACAACTAGATGCTTCTTGTGGGAAATGAATTCCTGGAATGCACTAGCGTGTGAGATAGAGGTCAAGGATTCTCATGATTAGTAAATAGGGAATCAAAACCTTTTAATTTGTAGATATGTTTAACGAATTGGCTTCGGTTATGATAAAGTGAGAGAGAGGAGCAGGCACATTCTCATGAACAAATAAGCATGGGTTGTCTCTAATGCACTGTGGGCTAACAGGAAGAGCTTCAACAAGGGTGGAAAAATCTTTTTGCTTAAGGTTCTGAAAGAAAATATGCACGATGTGCAAGAGTCATAGCCTTCTATATTAACTGTTTTCGAGCCATGATACTGAGTGTACTGACACTGAATGAAGGTGTGGAATGTAGTATGATCAGCACGATATCAAAGCACATTGTCCCAAAATGCAGTGTTACATCTTGATAATGTTTGTGGAACAAATTTTCATTCATTTCATTTTTCTTTGCGGTACAGACTATCGGTTCCTTGCAGAAGAAGTACTCAATTGGATCTTTTGAGCTGCTGAGCAGGACCGCACCAATTCAAGCCATCTCCCTCCTTATTCTTGGTCCATTCATTGATTACTACCTTAATGGAAAATTCATCACAAACTATAAGTTATCTTCTGGTGCCATTGTAAGCTCATTCTTTATTCCATCCCTATTCTAGCCAATGGATTTCTTTGTGTTTCACAGCATCATGTGTACTCTGGAACCCTTGCCTACTTTTTTAAGCTAATAAGCAGTTTGAATTTTTGCAGTTGTTTATAATTCTTTCATGCTCCCTAGCTGTGTTCTGCAATGTGAGCCAGTACCTCTGCATTGGAAGATTCTCAGCTACATCCTTCCAGGTTTTAGGTCACATGAAAACAATCTGCGTTCTCACACTGGGGTGGCTCCTTTTTGACTCTGAGTTGACTTTCAAGAACATTATGGGGATGTTTATTGCAGTTCTTGGTATGGTTGTTTATAGTTGGGCAGTGGAGGCTGAAAAGAGGTCGAATGCCAAGACTACATCATATACAAAGAACAGTTTGACAGAAGAGGAAATCAGACTTCTGAAGGAGGGAGTGGAAAGCATGCCTCTGAAGGATGTGGAACTTGCAGAGTCCAAGGAGTAGGCCTGCTTGCAATTGGCTGGGAATATAGGTATTTTTATTTCTTTCACTTCAGCATGGTTGGCATCTTTGCCTCATTTATGGCATTGCAAGACCGGTCTCCGTCGGCTGACCATCCTCAACACATAATCTTAGAAATTGTGTTCTATCTCTGTAAACCATATGTTCTTTTATTAATCATTGCTTTTCATTTAAATTATTTTTTTGTATGTGGAAAGAGATTAGCAGTGGAACCAAGATGTGATGAACTGTAAACCATATATATTAGTAAAAGAGCTCTTGGTAAGCAATAGAATTATGTCTTCCGATATAAACCATATATGTTTTTGCCGGATGTGGTGTCTGGTTGTTCTTTGCCACAGCTTGAACGAAAGATTGCGACGTAGAAAGTAAAAATATCGTGTCAAACTTGCGTGGATGTATTTAACTATTTGGAGCTCAATCCAGATATTTCATTATCACGTATTACCATTAATGGAGGCGATGTTTTTGTCCTTTCCTTCCCATCCTAAACAACATTTGGATGGATGGAGTTCCAAAATCCCTGTACTGTGACCAATATTCATTAGCATCCTTGTTGCGTTGCTAGAGTGCTCAGGAATGCATGGATCTGCAACCAAATCCATGGTCATGATTCTCATGAAGTGGTTTGACTCCGACGTCGGTTATCTTCTTTGCTTTGTATGTTTGTTTCTTTGCGGTGCGGCATCGTAAATTCTTCTGGTACTTTTTGCTGGATTGTATTCTCAGGCGCAGCAACTACTTTCCGTTGGTTTGCGAGTGAAAGTGTAGGATACTCAAAGTGCACAGAAGTGAAGTCCTGAAATGTTTTGTGAAACTATGATCATTATTCAATAAGTCACCTTAAAAATAAAAGACGGTTTTGGTATGGCTTCTGCTTTGCGTCTTCCGGTCATGTTTCGTGCGGCACGCTTCTCTGTTCTAGTATCGGTACACGGGTCATACACTCATGTGCACATGTATGTATCTATCTTGCCTATGTGCACGATGGATAAGCATGTGATGGTAATGGATGATACATCAGCTTTAAGGAATGAAATTGCATGATCATAGCTGGCACGAAGTCCGGGGCCTCGTGGCATGGTTCCTGCATTCGTGGGAAATCATGTGAAAAGGGTTTCCCTTGTTGCTTTCGCTGATGGTACAATGTAGTGTTGTGCAATCAAACTGTGATTGATTAGTATTTTAGTATATAAAAATAAATACAAAAGTATTTATTGAAGGGATAGAAATAAAAATATAAAATAAAGGATATAAATGCGTGTTAAAGGGATGAAGATGAAAACAGTATTCTTTTAAAACAAAAGGTAAACGCATCTTTTATGATTTATAGTGCCCCTAGACGCACCTTCTTATTCTTTGGAGTGGTGTTTTTATGATTTTACCCCTACGAGAAAAAATAAATATGCTTGCAATTGGGGGACAACTGTCTTTTCCAAAAATAATGTATTAGTCATTTCAAAATTGATTAGAGGTAATTTGACGTGGAAATCTTTTTTTAGTATAGTTAAATAATTATTTTATTTTTAAAAATAAAAAAATATTACATGGTTAAGTTACAATCATATCTCGTATTAGAAAAACAAAATGAACATGCAAGGTGAGCTTCTACATCTTTCCCCTTAAAAAACAATGAAATTTCAAAATTACCCTTAGAATCCAACAAAAAATAAAGGTTAGTCTAAAGGTATCTTAGTCTTTTAATTTTGGTTTTATGTGTTATTTTTTAGTCCGGTTAAGAGTTATTTGATAATTTTATATTATTAAATATTATTAAAAAAAAAAGTTTGACATGTAATGGTCTTCGTATCAATCAGGTAGCGTGTGTGGTTCCTTCTAATTATCAAAAACCTACTTTCATGATAATACTAGAAGTGATGAGATATCCTCTTTCTAGTGAAGTGGCATGAGTTAATGTCAAAGATTTGGTTCGTCTATGGTGACTTTTTTTCTCTCTCTGATTTTTTCTCTTTTTTATTCTCTATAAAATCATGCTTGGCCTTCAAGAAAATAATGATATCCTTTTATTTATTTAATCGATTTTGGCCTTTCTTTTAATCATTGTTTTTTTGGTTTTTTATGTTTTTTAAAAAAATCAATTTTATCCCTGAGTATTTTATTCAATTTAATTTTTTAATCTAATTGGGTCTATCTATTTTTCATTGCTCTATTTATGTATTTTATACTTTTCTTGATTTTTAATTTTTTGAAATTTTATGTCTTTCAATTTTAGTGCATTTATTTTCTTAATTCATTTTTTATTCTTATTTTGTTTATTGCTATATTCTTTCTATTTTTTTATTTTTTTTTATTTTATCCCTAAACATTTAACTTCATTTGATTTTATGTTCAATTTTGATTCTCATTCTTTCAATTACTTTTTTTTATATATATATTTTTAGTTTTTTTTTAGTTTTTCAATTTATCCTCTGATTATTTTCTTTTATTTTGTTTTTATACCATATTTGGTCTATATTGTTTTGATTTTTAATTGTTTTATGGTTTAATATTTTAATATTTTATATTTTTATTATTACCTTCCAGGAGGGTAATCTTTTATTGAATTTTTGTTTGAATTTATAATTTGATATTTTATTATTAAGCCTCTATCATTTGTTGTTCCATTTTTATTTTTGTTGTTTGATCGCGATCTCATATATCGGTTAATAGATTAATCAAGTTAATTATGATTGGCTCGGATTTTTTTCCTCTGTTTTTTAACAATTCCATTCCTTGATGTTAAATTATTGGCATTTGAACTATGTGATTTTTTTATATTTTTTTTATTAGGTTATCTTGAGTGCGAATTAGCCAAGTTAACCTAAATTGACTTGCATTTTCTTATTCGGTTCTTTTTATTTGACTTTGGTCTTTCTTGCTAGGTGCTTTTTGTGGAAGTTTTTTTTTTTAAATGCATGTCTCATGTCGCAAGTGGTGGGTTGGTCGAGTTAACCCTGGTGGACTCAATTTTTTTCTCATTTTTTTAATGACTTTTTTTAATTTAAATGTTTTGCATTAAATTATTTAACCTTGAACTTTGTTATTTTTTTGCATCTCTTATTATTTTGTTATTTCAAAAACAGGTTGGTCAACCTAACTTGAGTCAATTTGAATTTTCTTCTTAATATTTTTTTTATTTAACTTCAGTCTTTTTTGTTAAGTCCTTCTTTAGTGATTCTATTTTATTTTTTTATCTCAATCTCACGTGACAAGTTAGTCGAGTTAACCCAAGTTAACTTAAATGTCATTTTTCTTTATTTTTTATGAGTTTTTTTTTTCAATTTTATCTTGTTACATTAAATCACTTGCCCTTGAGCTTTATCATTTTTTTTATTTTTATTTTTTTGTTATTCTGAGAGCAAGTTGGTAAAATTTATCTGGTTTAACTCAGTTTTTTTTATGTTTTTGTATTGAACTTTGATTTTTTTGCCAAGTCCTAGTTTTGAAATTCCTTTTTTTTATCCTAGTCTTATATTAAGGGTTATGAGTTTGTCAAGTGAGCCCGAGTTGACTTGGGTTTTCATGTTTAAAGTTATATTTTTATTTTTGTTTTTGTTTTCATATTTGAAATTATATTATTAGGTCTTTAACTTTACAAATTTTTTTTCGCTTTTCTTTCTGCAGGTTGTTTTAATCTCAAATCTCGAGTTGTATTTTAGTAAATTTAACCTAATTTATATTGGATTATGATCATCTGGATATTATCTTTTTAGCAATGAAAAAATTTGGCCCGACCAACAACATAGTGCAAACCATCTATTTAGTTACCTAAAAAACTAATCCCCCTAGCAATATTATTGTGCCCCATAAAACATATTATTATTCATTATAATAGTGTAATTACTATTTTTCCCTTAGTCATTTTATTGTTTGCTCTTGCTTGAGGTAAAGAGATCTTTTCACCATGATATAAATGTCTTTCAAGAATTGTGCGATATTATTTTGGTATTTGAGCTTTTTATGCACAATAAAATTACTAATGCAACATTTGAATAAAATAATTCAATTCCTTCTACCTAAGTGTTTTCACTATCAATAATCATTTAACTCTTGAACAATCCTTTCTGAAAAAAAGAATGTGTATATAATAAACTTGCTGGAATTACCTAGGAAAAACAAAAATGTTATCGATGTTGCGGAGTTTAGCCTTTAAATTAATTTCAACCAAATGATGATGGGGATCTACTTTAACTCATTTATCGGTCATACATATAGCATTTGAATAAAAATACTATATTATGCTCGTTATATATTGCAAATCAATTACCAGCACAGAAAAAAGTAAGAGGGTGGTTGTTTGTTGCAAGAAAAAAAATCATAACAAATAATGAGAAAAGGAGGAGGGGAGAGAATGATCGATCGTCAGGTCATAAATTAAATATTATCAATAACGTCATAACCAACATAATTATTCTATTAATAACCTTGTCAGTTAAAATATCACGTTACTGTACTATTTGACTTTTATGAATCTCATTGTAGTACTTTCTGTAATTCTCTTGGTATATATAGGAGAACATTTTTTCATCAATATATTTACAAAATGTATTTTACCATCAAGTTAATTTTATCAGTAATGTCATCTGTAGAAGTTATGTGTCATCGCTATTATTTTTTTTCATTTCTTATTTTTTTCATTATAATTTTTTTGATTTATACCGATAAAATTTGTTTATTAGTGCTTGTTGATGGATACAGGAAAGGAAAATTATGCCGGTGAAGGACATCATAATATGCTTTGATATTTCTGTTTATATTTGATAATTTTCTGATAATAAATGTAGTGATAAATTAACTAAATAGGAAAATACCACTGCACAACCATGTTGCATGCTGCCAATTATATAGATTCATATTTGTAAATGTAAAAAAAGGCTAATAATTTACATATATAAATCCATAATTAGAAAGAAATTGGATCATATATATATGATTTCCCTTTTAGGTTAATCATGAAATGTTTGATAAATTAATTAAGTACTTCGCTATCTAATTAATTTCTAAATTAAAAGGGATATGTATGTATGAAGCAGACCTACAATGAAAATAGAAGGCCCTAAAACTCACGGGCCGGCTTCGCCCGTCTAGAGAAGAAAATACATGTAAATTAAAAGAATGGGAAAATGAAAGAATTATATTATCGATATATATTTATAAATGTACCGATCATCAATGAGAATATTGGCAAGGTGGGATATTTAGAAGCGGAGGAGGAGGAGGATAGTTGTGGTGGGCGGCGCTGGAGTGGAAGTTGGAAATGAGATCAGGAAGTTGCATGTAATGTGCTGTGGGATTACCAGTCTTGAGAAGGTGAAGAAGGTATTGGAAGAGATGGATCTCGCAGGCTATCCTTAAAGCCCCATCGTAAGCGTAACCATGCTCCTGTTCAGATAGACGAAGCAGGTCTTCAAATAGAGGATGGTTTAAGAAATGGGCTTCCATCTCAAACCTGCACAGAACATTGTCTTTCCCAACGCACACTCGAACGTGGCCCTCGGGTGGGGGTAGTGCCAGCTGATCTTCAGCTGAGTCGTCTGCGGAAGGGAACCCTTTTGCTCCGCAGCACCATAGCTTTCTAACGATTCCACTCATTATAAGTAATCTTAATCAATCTTGCTTGATTCGATGACTGAAAATTGATTGCTTGCTTGCCCTTAATTTCTTGCTGAATCCTTCGATCCTATGCTGTACACTACACTTTGATTGATGGAGAAGAAATCGACGACAGTTGAAAGGAACCCAAGGAGATGATGGCAATTTATAGACGACCTGGCAAATTGAAGGCCAATCATGAGTGCATGGTCAATATCATAATATAATATAATATAATAAACAAATTTAACACACATGGTATTCAGCCAGCTGAGGTGATCTGGTAATTAATTAGCCTCGGTGTGAAACTGGAAAAGGGGACCTCAACCCAGCCCATATAATGTGCAATTGCGCATGTATTAATTAATTTGTTTAGTGCGTACGTAAACAGAAAGGAAGTGAAGTCCAGCTAGGAACCGCGTAATGCATAAGGCATGGCATGCTTTAATTAATTTGAAAGTGCAATGATTGTTATTTATAGTTTTTTTTCCCTCTTAAGAAAAGCATTTCTTCCGTATTCCATTCGTAGCGGTTCATGAATACATTGACTCTCTGTTGGGTCACCCGGTAAAATAAGAAAAAACGACGAAAAAAACATAAATTATAAGACCACCTCCACTGCTCCGCCGGAGACACATATCAGTCCCATGTACTTTTTTTATTTTATGAATGCCGTGTGTCCAAGTCAAACCCCCTACAATTTATCGTTTGAATGCCTTGTCGATCATCATTCGGTTTTTCATCCAGATCAGGCCATTGCACATGGAAGCCTTTTAATCAAGCAAGGGCCAGGTCCAGAAGGGCCCATTCATAACGTTACATTTTAGGAGGAAATGAGCCCTTAGAACACTGCACGAGAGAGGGCCGAGCCCACATCTTAGAGCGAATAATAAGAAAGAGATAAGCAGGAAACGCACGGCCCAAACACATATCGGTAAAGGAGAGGAGAGGAGAGGAGAGGAGAGTAGTGTGGACTGTGAAGAGAAGACTGGGTTAAGAAAGAGGAAAGGAATTCTGAATAGTTTTGGGGAAGTAAAGGCGATGATGATGGAGGAGGAGAGAGGAGAGGAGAGGAGAGGAGAGGAGAGTAGTGTGGACTGTGAAGAGAAGACTGGGTTAAGAAAGAGGAAAGGAATTCTGAATAGTTTTGGGGAAGTAAAGGCGATGATGATGGAGGAGGAGGATGGCATGGATTCTCTGTTTGAGGGAATGGTGTTGTTTACACCTCATCAATTCACTGATGAACAACTTCATCACCAACTTGTTGAAGATCCTCTTAAGCGTCCTGAAGAATCTCAATCTGATGATACAGTTAATAATAATGGCAACAATACTTTAGCAGAAGCAGGAGCAGGAGCAGAAGAAGCATCTCATCATCAACTGTTGTCAGAGCCCCTCGATGAGAACCTTTTCTCTTCCCTCCAAACCCTAACCCAGTCCCAATCCGATCCAATTTCCCCTTCTCCCACTACTGATCCAACTACTCAGATTTCTTCTACTTCTAGAAAGAAAAGGAGAGCTTCCTTCAGGATCGGCTATGCCAGAGATCGCACCTATCCTCCCGATCTCAACAACCACAATGATGATGATGGCCATGATGCTGATAAGAATGAAGACGATGCCTCTCAATCCCCATCATCTTTTGTCGCCAATCCTATTGATACTTCCCTATCAGATTCACAATTCAAAAATAAGAATGATGAAACCTTGTCCCAATTTGATCACCTTAAGTCCCAGATTTCTGAGAAGCTAGACGCTGCTCGGCTCTTGATTGCCTCTGTCTCTTCCGCCCGCAAGGATTCCATCTCAAGGAGAAGAAAAGCTGCTGAGGATCTCAATTTAGCATCTGCCAATCACGCCCACTTAGAACACCAGTTGGAGGTTGCTTGTGAGGCCGAAGATTTCGAGACCGCAGAAAGGATTAGCGACAGCCTTGCTGCTGCTGAGAAGGAGAAACAAACTCTCCTCCTTGCTCTCAAAGACGCTGAAGCTCACTGTGATACCATCGACTCTCAGATGTACCATGCTCTTGACTCCCAGATTGCTGCTGAGCAAGAATGCGCTTCTCTTCTTCAACATTTCGCTAAGGTCACTACCCCATTACTGTTACTTTAAAAAAAGACTATTTCTTTTTATCCATTCCATTCTATGTAAATGTAAAACTCCTAATAGAACTGCCTTAAGGAAATCATCATCACTGCCCCTGCATATAATGCCTAAATCATCCCTTCCTTTTCTCCTAGGATGCAGAAAATAATGCAGATTTAGTCTTGAAGAATGCACAGATACTTTCTTCAAAAGAAATTGATGATTGGTTTTCATCCTCCCAAGTCTTGGAGGCCAAGAAAATCGAATTAGATATTGAGTCACATTTCATAAATGAAGCACGCTCGCGGGTCAGTGATTCCATCCAGCATTCAGTTGAGGACGATAGGAATGAGAAAGAAATTCTCTGTAAGAAAAAGGACGTGCTCACTAAGGAACTCGACCATCTTCTCGATTTAGTCAAACAGAAGGAAATGGAGATAGATGAAAATGATACTAGAATTAAAGCAGTTGATGAGAGGATTGCTGCTGTGGTCTCTGATTTCAAGGAGATTCAGTCAAGCATTAATGCAAAGTTTGATGACTTGCAATCACGCCTTTCTCAGATGCATCTGCAGAGTGTAGCATTATCGACAAAAAGAAAGGAAATTGATAGGTTCCTAACTGAAGAGGAAGAACGTGGGGCTAAGCTAAGGGAATTAGTCAAGGTTTCAGAAGATGAAGCAAAAGTCTACCAAGAAGTTGTTGTGCTGAGAAAAAGTCTCAAGTCGTCCATTTTGAAATCCAGGGAAGAAAAGTTGAGGCTGGCAAAGACCGAGGAGGAGCTTACCTTGGATGTACAGAAGCTCCAACAGGAAGTTTCTGCTGCAAGAGGTTCCCTGCAGGTGGGTTTTACTTTGCAAATATTTCATGTGTTTTTGTTTCTTTCATCCAAAAACACATGCAAACAAGTAGATCTCTTTATTTATTTATTTATTTTGTAAAGGTTTTAAATTTCTGTGCAAGCATGTCTATCTTGCAAAAGATAAATCTTGGGCTTTTCTACTCGAGCAACCTGTGACAATCTAGTCTTTCCATATTCATGCATTATTTTTTGTAAATTGAATATGACTAAGTTGTTGAAATATTACAGAAGGTCCCTCTAATAGTCTTGCATGGTTTATCAAGTATAATATAGTTGGTTAGAATAAAGATTCTCTTTCTAAAGTGACTTCTTTACTCTGGAAAAACTATACCAAGATTGTTTAGTTCATGAATCTATCCTGGGGAGCCAAACAAAAAATAATCTTCAGAATCATTTTAGCTGATGGGAAAAGTTTGGAATTTGTAGGTGTTTACTTGGGTTTAGAGTTGTCTAAGTTAGTATGTTCATGTATCAGAAGAGTGCATGAGCTATGGATCCATACAAAAAGTTATATTGATGTGTCTAACTCTAGTTTTTCTAAGTAGAAGAGGTTGTCCACATGTATAGATTCCACCTGGCCGGCACTTCATTGCACTTCATTGTTAGTCTTTTCAATTACATTCTTGAAAACTTCAGCCAGAGGAAGTATTTTTCCATGATCAGATGTTGACATGGCCAAGCCGATCATTTGCCAATTAAGTTAACTCTATGTTTCAAAATTTTCACTGAAACCATATCATTTATTATAACTCCCCCTCTCTTTCTGTGCTATTTGTAGGAGCTATCGTCAACTAAGTCCAGCATCCAGCAAAATATATCATCCTTAAAGCAGAGAAGTCTATTCATTGATAAAAGAGTCCCAGAGCTGGAGGCAGAAAAGAAAGTTGCTGCTGCTGCGAGAAACTTCAAGGAAGCTGCACGAATAGCTGCTGAGGCGAAGTCATTGGGTGTTGAAAAGGATAGTTTGGAGATTGACTTGCAAAAGGCCACTTCAGAGCTGAAGAAGCTTGAGGAAGATATTAAAGATACTGTTGACAGATTGCAAACTACTGAGGGACTGATATTATCCAAGGAAAAGGAGGTTGCAATGGCTAGATTCCAGAGGTTGCTTTTAATTTCTGGTGCTGCCACAGCAGAAAGATTTGCTGCTTTAGAGCTGGGTGACACTAAAGAAGCTAACCTCCTACTTGCGGAGGCTGAGGCAGCAAATGATGAAGCAAAAAAACTTCAACCAACATACAATTTTAAAGCAGAAGAATTTTTAATACCTAAACAGTTCATCCCTGTGGAGCTTGTATCCAATCTTGGAAGGAAGCAGTTAGCAGAACTGGCAGCTTCCGCTCATTTTCCAGCATCACAATGACTAGAAGCAGAGTGAAATTGATTTGAAGATGACCAAACCAAGAACTATTGGAGAACCAATAGCATCCAAATCATGTGATTTCGAAACAGTTTCAGAAATTGCATTGCAAGGGACTTCTGTGATTTTGATCATAATGTTGATATTTTCTTTAGAATTTTCCTGAGCCATGGACGACAAACATCAATTACAGTTTTGGTGATCAAAAGTTTGGCAGCAAGATCCATCCTATTCTTTGACATCTAGCCATGTGAGGACTTGTCAACTTTGGTAAGCCATAAATACAGAGCCTTATGTTGAATTATATTTTATAGCTCTTTGTAATTATCTTTTTGTCTTGTGTCCTTTGATATATGTTTTCGAAACAGAATCATTTCCTATGCGATTGACTTTCATGTTGTTGAGAATATTTTACAAGGTTGGTTCTATTTAAGATCGCACTTCTATCCTGTTTTTTTATGTCAACTACATACTATAATCACTTAATCTGACTACAAAACCAGTAAGTTTCATGTTTCCAGAGAAGGTTGTGAATCAACCAAGGGAGGAAACAAACTTCACCATGCAAAGTGTTAGAATTTATGTATGTGCTATTATAAAGTTGTGTTTGAACGAAAGCTGTAGGCTAGACATTTTGTTAATTTGGGGTGGTTTGACCATAGCTTACATATCAGATACATGTTAAAATTGAGGTCGATTCTATGATATGGGTTGGATTTGTCTTGCTGGGGGCTGATACTGCCTTGAAACTTAGTGCCTTTGATTTGAGCATTGCTTTGAAAGTTCCAATGGATCAATTGACTGTATGCCTAATGCAGTAAGAGTAACAAATTTGTCTGATTTATAAGGCCCGTGGAAGCATTGATTTGTATTGTGTAATCTGCACGCTTAATTCTTAGTTGATTCCAAAGGTAAGGCTTCACAAAACATGACTCCAGCTTTAAATGCCTATGTATGAAACACACGTGCACGCATGTACACACTTCTGAAAAATTAAAACAGCGTCAGGGGTTAGTTTAAAATAACCATGCGTGGGCTATGCATGTCATACATATTCTGCAAAGGAAATTTTTGTTTGTTTTGAAGTTAAAATTTAGAAATACTCTGCTAGTGAACTCAAAAAAGCCTGATTGTAACTGCATCAGCATGTGGAAATCACTGCATGAATGCTGAAAATAAGGAGATTGTCCTTTCATATTAGTCTGCTAGATCGTTGTATCTGATTCTTGTTTGAAGGGCTTGGTGTAAATTATTTTTGAATGATTCAAAAATTTTGTGCAACTAGTCTGAAGGTGAGGTTCTTTCATACCATAAAACATAGTTTGAAGATAAAAGCTGTTAGCGTAAACATAAAAGCAAGGACCTCCTTCCGCAAAAATATTCGTCAAGTAAATTGCAGCATGCACAGTCATGATATCGTTAGATTGGCTTTTAGATTGGAATAGGATGGTGTTAAATTATCATTTTTATTTTTATTTTTATTTTTATTTTTATTTTTTTATTCAATTAATAATTATCATTTATTAAATTCAAATGCAACACATAACAAATGGAAAGACAAGTGCATGCTATATTGGATTTTATTAGTAATGAAGGCATTGAAAAATGAATGAATTGTTTATACATGCCCTCGTCGTCACTCCATCCATGACCTCTATTAAAAGGTAGCGCAAGATTTTACATCTGGGAACAAACAAGACTCGTAACTATTTACAAATTCATGATTGTGCGTTGTAGCATAAGCTTTTGCTCCCTACTATATGGTGTTAGACGTTTCAAGAAAAGAAACGGGCAACATGCCTCTTGTTCTTGGAGCACATAAACTGCAAAATTAGAGAAGAAAAGGAACGTCAAAATCAAAGATTTAAAGAGAGGAAAAACTAATAGATGATATCCGGCGCCTTAAATCCCTTCCATGGACCTAACAAATGATAGCTGGACCTGGTAATGGGATGAGATATATTAATTCCATTTAGAGCTAATGAGAGTCTGTAGAAACATTTTGGGGTAGGAACATTTTGGGGTAGGAACATTTTGGTCTTGTTCCGGTAAAAAGCTGACATTTATTCTTTACAAAAACATATAAAGCCAGCATATAAATGACGTCCTTATTTAGGATGTTGCTGTAATAACTTACAGCCATTTGAATGACCTTCTTGAGCTTATGCAAAACAAACAAATTCATGATATTGTTATAGCCATTCCCCCAGCTATGATTCGAATGACCTCCTTAATACTTAACAGAGCTTACGCAAAACAAACAAATGCATGATGCTGTCAACAGTCGCCTTCATTCAGTAAGAGAGAGAATGCCAACCTCTTTACAAGCATGTACAGGTTGTTTTTTATTAGAGCTATGGAATTACCTGCCCATTAGCTCCAGCATTCATGTAAGAAGCTCCGCCTACAATACTCAGAATTCCTCCTGCAAATTCAAGACCTGTAAAACCTTTATTGCAAAATCATACACCTAAACAATTGATTCGAAATCCACTTCCAACTCTATAAACCATTGAGACTGCGTTAACACCAATGTACTAATGCATCTTCTGCGAGTAATAAGGGTCATTAGTTAGCTTAGACAAAATCAAAACAATTTGCATCTCTTTCCTAACACCATGACAAACACTTGCACAAAGCTAAATGATGGTCTTATGGTGGCGCACTATAATTATTGCATGTCATGCCATGTATGTTTCACACAACAATAGTTTTATTTTGCATGCACAAAGAACATCAGAAAGCACAAGTGCAAGACATGTGACAGCAACGTGTTCTGGTTCTCTGGAAATATGCTGAGAAGGGTAACATAAAGACCAATGTTATGGCAAGCAGATGAGGAGAAGTACCTAGCAATACAAGCATGATATAAATCAAGCAAATTGAACCCAACCAAATGACCTTTTACTAGTAATTGTCATATCTAGCTTGCGAAGTATATGAGTGCTTGGCTAAGAAAACACGGTTGATGATCCCACTCCCGCACAAACACCAATTTATAGCCTTCATAGCTCGCTCTCTCTCGCGCGCGCCCATGTATGTATATACACTTCTATTTGACTTTGACAGTAAAGAATCCACACGCACGTGTACACACACACACGCACTTCTATTTAACTTTGACAGTAAAGAATCGACACTGCCATAAAAAGAAAAGAGTATTAAGAGAAACAAACCGACAGCACCCATATTTCTGGCATCAATTATCAGTACAGGAAAGTTTTCACATGGCATCAATCTTAATGACATTTGTTAACAGCATAAGTGTATAACAACATTCGATTATGACCACATGATTTCCTCGTATAACAGCATTCGATTAACAGCAGAAGTGTATAACAACAAAAGTTTTCACATGGCTTGCAACTATAGAACGGAACAAGCCACTTTCGGATCTGGATCTTCTCAGCTCGGGTACCGGTCTATGCTGCCACGAGCTTGTTGATGTCGCCTGGTGTCATCGTCGTTGCACTTCACTCTCAATTTCTTTCCCAGACGATCGTTCAACACCACCTCCAACATCTTTGAAGAAAGGATTGCCACACCCTAACCCTGGACAGTGAAGATTTTTCTTCAATTCGGGTGATAAAGGATTGTCAAATTCTAACCGTAAACCCAATGATGACAACAACACTGTCGAAGCCCTCCTCTTCCCGTTTCCCGCGAGTCCCTTCCTGCTCCAGCTATCAATTGGAGAGTGCTACAGTGCTCCCCATTGGGAGTGCGTTTGTTTCTGCGTAGATTTTGTAGTTATAGTTTAAAAAAATAAGTAAAAAAAAAAAAAGGTGATTAGTTGGATTTAGGTATATATTTAGGTAGTTATAATTGAGTTTCGTGTAGTAAAAAAATATATAAAATATTTGGTTATGGTTATTTTTAAAAGTATTTTTTATTTGAAAATATATTAAAATAATTTTTTTATTTTTAAAAAATAATTTTTTATATCAACTCATCAAAATAATCTAAAAATATAAAAAAAATAATTTGCAGTAAAGAAAAATATAAAAAAATTTAAATTTTGAAAAATGTGCTTTTGAAACCTAAAAACAAATATAGTTTTACAAAATTCGATTAAAAAAACATGTAAAAACTGCTTTACAAAAACAACATTTTAAACTCATTTTTTTACCGAGCTCCACATTATAAAACTCAGTTTGGTATATTACCAGATATCTAATTGTGCTTTTTGCACCACAAACACAGAAGCAATTGCAAAACAAATGGACAAAGTCAGAATAGCGAGTTTTGTTTTATAGCTATTAAAACGTGATGTATTTATTAAATCAGTAGACTTGAACCTGTTTGAAAATGTGGTTATTATTGTTTTTTAAAATATTTTTTATGTTAAAATATATCAAAATGATATTTTTTTTATTTTTAAAAAATTATTTTAGAGATCATAAAATAAAAACAATCCAAAACATACAAAAAATATTAATTTTTAGCAAAAAATGAATTTTTATGAAATGTGATTTGCACTGCGTTTCCAAATAGTGTCGTTAATATGGATTGTTACAATAGATTTATCTTATGTAAATGGAAACGTAAGAAGGTTCGGAGATGGAGGTATTTTAATCTTTTTATGCTAACTCATTAGTTATTAAAACATTAAACATGGTTTATTATTGTCTTTGCATATTAATTTGTATAGTAAAAATACGCTTCTGCTTCCATGATTAATGAAATTTAAAACTACTGATCAAGAGTGTTTTTAACTTTACATAAACTTGAAAATCAGTAAAATATGTCTTTGTCATTATATAAGATAAAATAGTTTATATGCATGTACGGGGTGGTTTGGTACTTTTTCATTGATTTATTTGTTATTTCTAGGGTTATAATGAGGCTTTTTAGTAATTTAATATTATTTTTAAATATTAAATTCTAAAAAATTACTAGTGCATGTTCTTCACGCATTAATGGCTTACATGTTTTTTCAATTATGCATGCGATGCCATTGTTTGTTCAAAAATAGCTTTCTGTCATGTCATTAAAAACATCATCACGTGATCTTTTTTCTAGTGTAAAGCGTGTTGGTGGTGGATTGGTGATTTATCGTTGGTGGTCATTTCTTCTTTCTTTTACCACCTTTTCTTTATCTTCCAGTTAAAATGCATATGTCTTTTTTTTTTCAATTTAAGTCCTCATTTTTTTATTGTTTATTTTCATCCTCGGCCTTTTTAGAAAAGTTTTTATGTTTTTAATTAAATCCTTAAATTATAATTGGACATATATTGGTTTCATCAATTTGGTATTTATTTTTTTGACTTGTCATTGTTACCCTTGGATCTTTGGTTTAGCTTTATTAATATTCAATTTCATCTTTTAATTAAAGTTTATGTTGATTTTTTTTTCAATTTAGCTTTCATTCTCTTGATTTTTTTATTTGTTAATTATTTTTTTTTCAATTTAACCCTTCAATTTCATTTTTAAATGCCCTCATATTTAT